GTCAGAATTCTTAAAAAAAAGTCAGAATTCTAAGAAAAAAAAATCTGAATTCTGAGATTAAAGTGAGAAATACTGAGATTAAAGTAAAATTCTGAGATTAAAGTCAGAATTCTAAGAAAAAATCAGAATTCTGAGATTAAAATCAGAATTTTAATCTCAGAATTTTTTCCCCCAGTGGTCATAAATGAAAACTACAGAAGTAGCAGCTTTACAATACTCTAACTCTACAAGTACCCATACAATAAATACTCCGATTTTCAAATGCCCCAAGGAAAATTAATAAAATAAATAGTTTTTGTTTGTTAATGGGTTTAATGTTTAAAGGTTAATGTTTTTTTTTTTTTCATTTTCAAAAATGAAACTAAAAACAACATGTTTGGTGAAGAACTCTGTGTCAATGCATTTTATTTTGTTTATCATTTTATTGTATTATAAGGCTTGGTTAAAAAAGATAATGATATCTGAAGTCCAAACAAGTAAAACAATAATAATAATAATAAAAAAAAAAGTATAATAAAGTAAAAATCATTGGTCCTTGTCATTTAAATTTCAAACCAAAAAGGTTTGTAGAGTTTTCGTCCTTCATCTCCGGAAAACATTCCAAAAATTATAAATGTCCTGTCCAGGGGTGATGCTGAGAAACGAATCCATGCATTTGTAATTTAAAGGCTAAACTATTTTAATTCTTTACTGTTAGAAATTCCACAAACTGTAGTTTCAGCTGGTCCAAAATGCTGTAGCCAGAGTTCTGATGAAAATTAAAAAGGGAGATCATATCTCTCCTATCTTAGCTATCCTTTATTGGCTTCCTGTTAAATCAAGAATATAATTTAAAATCCTCCTTCTCTTGTATAAAGCCCTAAATAATCAAGCCACCTGTTATATCAGAGATCTCATTGCAAATTTTGGATGGTTTGTATTTGTAAAGCTTTTTTCAAGGTCGGTGACGTGACCAAAGTGCTGTAAACTGCATTCAGTCATCACACACTCACTCACTGATGGGGACAAGCTTCCATGAGGCTCACTGACAGGAGCAAGGCTGCTGTACACATGTGCCATCAGACTCTCTGACCAACAACAGTAGGCAATGCAGGTGAAGTCTTTTGGACACAATTACATTGAAAGCCAGCACAGAGCTTGTGCTGGCAATCCTTCAACTGCAAAGCAATCTCCTCCATCTGACACCGCTGTCACCCCAACAGAGCACTTACTTGTGGTAATTTCTAAAAGTAGAATGGGAGGCATATCTTTTAGTTATCAGGAAACCCGACAGTCTGTCCACTTTTAAGGGAAGGCTTAAAACTTTGCACAAGTGCACCCTCACAAACAATTACAGGTGCTTGGCTCCAGGTACTCAGAGATTTATTTCCATACGGAAAGCCCACATTCATATCTTCAGGTAACACAGAGCACATGTCAGACTTAATAATATTACTTTAGCGATAGTTTCAAGGTGTTGCTTTATTGTATGTCTCGTACCATGTCTTTCGGTTGTGCTGTTCTTTTTTCATCTCGTTAGACGTGATGAAGCAGACTGAAAATGTTATATCATTGTCTCCTTTCTATCTCTTCTTTCTTTCATCTTCTCTCTTTTTTTTCTTCTCTTTTTTCCTTTGTCTTCTTCTGTTTTTCTGCTCTATTTACATTGCAGTGTCCATATAAACTGTAAAACTCCCTGCATAATTATAATAAAGCAATTTATATGCATGAAACAAGCGGAGCAGTATGGCAATTGCCATACTGCTCCACTTGTGAAAGTAAAATCTGTTGGGCTCTTTTTGGCATCAAGACAAGTATTCTTATTGCCACATTGCCAGACAGGACACAGTAAAAAAAAATAATAATTTGCTTTTTGCTAATGCTTATAGTTAGTGTCTCAGGTTATCTCGAGCTTTCTCTAAAGTTATGCTGCTATAGGCTTAGACTGCTGGATCACATAGGGCCCACTTTACATCATCTTCTTCATTCTATTTCTATTCTCCCATTCTGAAGTGTTTTTTCTTGTTTTGTTTTTTTTGTTCAACATTTAACTTTATGTTTGCTCTGATTTTTCTTGTAATATTTGTTCAATCTGGTCTTTTCCTATTTGGCTGTGATACCAAAGAAACATCTAGAATGGTGCCATCAAAATCTCCGGTTATAGATGATAGAGCTGCGCCTGTTTTTTAAAGTTTTTCTCCTAGAAATAGCTTTTGGCTCAGCTTTTACTGTGACTGACTGTATATGTTCTCTTTCACCTCTTTGTTGTGAAAACTAGCTTAGAGCTTGTCTGCCTAGCTACTTGTCTCCTAGGCAGAGCTCCCTGTGTAGGTAGTTTACAGTTACTTTTCCTAAGGAAGGTATTTATAGATCAGTTATTCTACGTTTCTTTCATATTGCTCCTTTTATTTCCTTGAACCCCACAGTCGGCCTCGGCAGAAGGCCGCTCACACCGAGCCTGTTTCTGCTGCCTTCTCTTAAAAGGGTGTTTTTCCTCTCCAGTTTTGCTGCATGCATACTCAGTGTGAGGGATTGCTGTTGAGTTGACAACAAAATGCATGAAGTGAATTTCATTGCCGCAAGCTTATCCAGGAGGAGTGTGTCTTGCAAGTCATTGACTCGAATTAATCAGCTGGATTTCCTTATATAGAAAACTTTTTACCAATCTCACTCTATGATCTAATTGATCCGTCTATGTAGAGTACCTTAAGCTTGGTTTATGCTTGACGAGTCCGCTTGGATTATTTAGCCCACCTGCCCCCACCCATCCTCACAATATTCTACAGAAGCAACATAGAGAGCATTCTGACCAGCTGTCTCACTGGTGTGGAGGCTTCAGTGCAGCAGATTGGAAGAAAGTGAGAAGAGTGGTGAGAACAGCAGAGAAGATCATCAGGGCTCCTCTTCCCTGCATAAAAGACATTTCATCCCAGCGCTGCGTGTCCCAAGCCTGTATCATTATCAATGACCCCTCACACTCCCACCATGGACTGTTCTCCCTGCTGAGCTTTGGGAAGAGGTTTCGAAGTATTCAATCCAGGTCCAGCAGATTCCAAAACAGCTTCTTCCCCACCGCCATCATACAGCTGAACTGTTGAGAAAACTCTAAATCATGTCACAGACTCTGCATGACACTGACAACACCAAACCAAAAACGCTACATAACTTCACCATATATATTTAATGCTATAAACTTCCATATCAATGCATTTTTTTTGCACCATGTTTTTTATCCTACACTGTTTACATTTGATCACTGCTGCACTTTAAGAAATGGATATGTCGTGAAAGCTGTACAAAACAAAATTTTGTTTTGTATACACTCTATGTATACAAAATGACAATAAAAGTTGTCTAAGTCTAAGGCTGTCTAATTTTTGACTTGTCCACTATCAACTCATTTTTTTCCACTATATGCTGATAGGGGTGGTATTTATGAGCTATCTCTCTAGATGTTTATATTTGCAAACCCTCGTCAGCAGAGCTGCTGTTCGCTCGCCTTGTTTTCTGCGCAGATCCATCCGCTTTGTGTTTCTCTCCCCTCCAATATTTTCTCTGTTCTGCTGTGCTGTAATCTCTGGGCCCCCTCTTCTACCCCGAGCCTGAGAAAAGTGACCATTTTTGATTCACTGTTGTCCTCTTTCACTGAACTTCTCCTTTTATTCTCCTTCTCCTTTTAAAAAAGATCCTCGGCTTTAAGACTTAAATATTTTGTTTTTACCTATGGTTTATTACCTTTACATTGCATTAACTAGCTAACTGTTATTCTAGGAGGTGGATACCCGCATGTTTTTAGTACAGCTAAAGGTGAGCAAAATGTCATTAGAGATAGTAGAATCTTGGCTCTATCAATTAAACCATTGTGTAAATCATAAATGTGTTTTTTTTTTTTTTTTTTTTTT